GAAGAGAGCACCGGATCCCATTACAGATGGTTGTAAGCCAGATGGTTGCTGGGAATTGAACTCAGGACCTCTGGAAGAACAGTCAGTGCTCTTAACCCCTGAGCCATCTCTCCAGCCCTAGCTAGTCTTTCTTAATCCACACTCCCCCTTCTCAGGTACGAACTGGGCAAGTCGACTGGCTCAGACTGTGGCCCCACAAAGGCAGCTTCCCACAAGCTCCTCGTGCACTTTAACACAAGCCAGCTTCTACTGGGAATAGAACCTTTCCTCCTCATGGCTGGCTACGTCCTGCAGCCTCCCACTCTGCTCTCCAGGGGAAGTTTGCCCCAGCCCAATTCATCCACTCCTTTCTCCTCACCCAGGTGACCAGAATTTCTTCTGGACAGACTCTCCTCTTCCACCCTGCTTCTTCCCCACCCCCCACCTGCTCTCCAGGGGAAGTTTGCCCCAGCCCAATTCATCCACTCCTTTCTCCTTACCCAGGTGACCAGAATTTCTCCTGGACAGACTCTCCTCTCCACCCTGCTTCTTCCCCCCACCACCCTCGCCTCCCTTTCCTCTCTCTTCCCAATGTCCCATTCTGCCCTCTCCTCCTCCTCCTCTCTCCCCTTCCTGCCTTTCTTCCTCCTCCTGGGCTTCTACAGTTTCTGTTATGTTGGCTACTGCTACAGAAGCTGGAGGCCCATAGCTTCATAAGATGGAAGCCATGTGGACCACATCTCTCTATCTCCAGCCAGTGGTGCTGGGGTAACAGTGAAGTGAAGGAGAAGCAAGCTGTTAGCTCAGATCCAGCAACTAGAGGAGGGGTACAGGGAGCTTGTGCTCAGTGTCTGGTTGGTGTCCTACAGGCCAACAGGTGCTCTGGCTCACAGCTTCCTGGAGTTTTGGTCTGGCGCCCTCTTGTGGTTCAACCACCACAAAGCTGGTTTCCAACACTTGACAGGTGTCTTATCATTCCTCTCAGTGGTTCTGTCACAGCAAGGAGTGGACCAAGAAGAGCAGGGAACAATCCAAAGTGGTTTCTCTCACTATCTGTCCCCAAGGACTGTATTAGTTACTTTTCTCACGGCGGTTTGATCAGTACTGACAAGAAACAGAGTGAGGAAGGATTCGCTCTGGCTTGGGCTTTCAGACGATGGGCAAGGTATAGTAGATGGAAGATCTGCTAGCTCAGGAAATGGGTCTGAAAAAGCTGGCTACATGGTTTTGGCAGGTCCCCATCCCCTCTAGTGACCTACCTGACCCACGAATTTCCATCTCCTAAGGGATTCATCACCTCCCCAAAGAGCATCACTTACTAAGTAAGGGTCAACCATTCAAACACATGAAATGGTACAGTGCCTTTCCTATTTGATCAGTAAGGACATTTTGACTCTAATAAGAGCAGTAGGAACAACGAAGACAAACACAGGAAGCTTTGTGCTGCTCTGGGATGGAGATATGGGCACTGCCTCGTTAGAAAGTGGATGCATTGGCTGCTTCAATGGACCTTTAAAATGGACCCTAACATTCTCAATAACTTTGGTTACTATAGACCTCATGATCTGTACACAAAATACAAGTTTCTCTTAAACTCGTATTTGTGGGATTAAAGGTGTATGCTGTTATCACCCAGCTACAAGTAAAAGTTTTAAGAAAAAAAATGAAATATCAAAGAAAAACAATAGTTACGAACAGAAAAATGTGTAATAAAAAAAAAACTGAAGTAAAAGCACAAACTAAACTTCAGATCACAATCTACAACTCAAAATTCACAAACCTAAATGAATGAATCAGGAAACACTCGCTTTGTTCAGTTCAAAACAGAATACCAGTCAGTGTCTTCTTTGTCAGAAGATTGACAAAATCCACCTGTGTCAGAACCGGAGAGTCCAGCTTCTTGAGAGCCAACGGACAGCTTCCCCTCAGAGTAAGGACCAGGTCCCCCCCCCACCCTGTTTCTGATATGGGTGGGCAGCTATCATTCCTCACAATGGCTCCTTATGAGGTCACACATGATCACATGATGGTCACTAATGACCACAGCTGAATGACTTTCTAGTTCTTTTCTCACAGATGTTCCCTAACCCTGGACAAGAAGCCATTAAGAAGGGTTAATTTAGGCCTGGGCTTTCAGAAGATGGAGAAGACCTGGTAGTGAGCTCAGAAGGGGCATAAGAACTGCTTTCAGCCGGGCGCTGGTGGTGCACGCCTTTAGTCCCAGCACTCGGGAGGCAAAGGCAGGCAGATCTCTGTGAGTTCGAGGCCAGCCTGGTCTCCAGAGCGAGTGCCAGGATAGACTCCAAAGCTACACAAAGAAACCCTGTCTCGAAAAACCAAAAAAAAAAAACCCTGCTTTCGCTGTATTGACAATTCCCTGTGCTTCCCAAGGACCAAACACCTCTGGCTAGACCCCACCTTCAAGGGTTCCCCAACTTCTCAAAACTCTGTTGCCTAAGCACGGTCTGAATTAGGATTCTATTGCTCTGGTAAAACACCACTATCAAAAGCAACTTGGGGAGGGAAGGGATTATTTCTATTAAACATCTGGGTAACAGTCCATTACTGGGAGAAGTAAGGACAGGAACTCAAGCAGGGCAGAAACCTGGAAGTAGGAACTGAAGCAGAGGCCATGGAGGAACGCTGCTTACTGGTTTGTTCAGTCTACTTTCTTATATAACAGCACCCAGGACCACCAGCCTAGAGGTGGTAGGCTATAACCCACAATAGGCTGGGCCCGCCCCCATTGATCACTAATTAAGAAAATGTCCTACATACTTGCCTATAGCTTCATCTTATGGAGGCAAGTTTTATTTTAATTAAGGTTCCTTTCTCTCAGATGACTCTAGCTTGTGTCAAGTTGACATCAAACTATCCAGCACAGGGAGCAAAGGTTCATGACACAATGCAGAACATCTCTCATTCACTCCATAACGAAGACCTTCTCCACTTTATAATAATGAAAGCAACCATAACAGTGATAAGTGTCTGGAAGCTTTGTGCTACCATGGGTGATAGACACTGGCACTTGCTAGGAAGTAAACATGGGATGCTTTGATGGCCTTATGACTTGGACCCTAACATCTGTAACATTTGGCCTTTACAGACATCATCATCTCTACACTCAACAGGGATCTAGGGAGATACAGGCACACACCTCACAGCACAAGCTGGATACTTGCCTATAGCTTCATCTTATGGAGGCAAGTTTTATTTTAATTAAGGGAGATACAGGCTCACACCTCACAGCACAAGCTAGGGCTGCCTCCTCCTAGTCTTTGAGTTTGGCTGGACAGTAGGCAGGAACTCAAAGCAGGAAGTAGAAAGGTATCTGGTAAAGGAGAGGACATGATGATCATCAGTTTAAGTGCTCTTCAAGGGGGGGGGGGAGGTATACAGACAGAAGGACCAGCAGTTCACAGTGTGAGATTAGATGGCATGTATCACTTCACTTTAGAACACTGTTACTATCATTCTAAGTGGTTAGCAACCCTGAAGAGGCATTTGGAATTTTATAGAACCTGAAATGCTTGATACATACCCTATCTACCTTCTTCCATCACTGAATTTTTAGACGGTGTCTGAAGGTATTTTCTGATATTCTCGCCCATTTCACAGCCATTAAACTGCAAAGAAAACACTACTGCACCAGCAGGGTATGCTGGGGGCAGCCCCGGGCACATGTGTATAGAGCAGATGAAGTCCCGAGTGAAGGTGTGTTGTTGATATGGACATGGCCATCCAAGGATCCAATGCCTCAGACCCAGAGCATGGCAAAGCCTGCCCTGTGTGGGTGAGGCTCAGGAGGATGCCAGAGCACTAATGTCGACAGTATGTGCAGCTGCTTCTTCTCAGAAGACTGCAGCCTGAGACAGCTCCACTTCAGAGATCTCCAGGCCAGCCAAGTCCTCCTGTACTGTACATAAGGTTCCACTGTTGTGTAGGAGGTACTGCTTGGTCTGTGCAGGCACGGCCCACCTGATCCCAGTCTGTATGTCTGTCTGTCCTGTTTTTATTCTCTTTCAGATCCCTGTCAGATCAGGTCTCAGCTGTGTGGGACATGGCACCTGTGAATGACCTACTTGATAGTAAATAGGTAAGAAATGACATTGTGACCAGAGCCTCTCGAAAGCTCTCAGCCTAACTTTATAGCAAGGTCAGGGGGGTCATGATGGTACAACTCAGGGGAAAAGTGCTCCCAGGGCAGTATGAGTGAGGCCCTAGACCTTCCTAACGCAGTGACCCTTTAATACAGTTCCTTGTGTTGTGGTGACCCCCCCAAACACCATAAAATTATTTTCACTGCTCCTTTGTATCTAATTTGGCTGCTATATGAATTATAACACAAATATCTGTCATGCAGGATATCTGATATTCGACCACTGTGAAATGGTAGTTTGACTCCCCCAAAGGGGTCATGGCCCACAGGTTGAGAACCAATGTCCTAGTTCCAAGAAAGAAAGAAATGCAGTCTAAATGCTAGAAACAAAAATATAAAGCCCAACAAGCCTTTCTTGCCAAAGACAAAGAAAATGAATCAAACCATACAGAGAAGACTTGAGTTTATTGAACATATATTTAACTAAGCCCTTGCTATATGCCAGGTATTGGGTTAGGTGCTGGGAATATGTTGCACTGATCAAAACTGTATAAAGTCCCTGTCTTCATTGTACTTAACATTCTAGACATCATGGGCTACAAGACACAACTGTATAAAGTCCCTGTCTTCATTGTACTTAACATTCTAGACATCATGGTCTACAAGACAATAAACGTAATAAATAAGGAAATGACATTGCAAGTTAGAAGGTGGAAAATACTAAATAAAATAAAACAGCCATGGTGGGAAGGAATGAACAGTTCTTTCTGAACATTTCCCAAATGATTAAAGAAAAACAATGTCAATTCTTTTTTGGAAAGTCTGTACATCTGAACATGATGAAACAAAACATTTTCCAGGTCTGTGATACTTGTGGGATTTTTTTTAGCAAGAAATTAAAGCATTAAGGCAATTTGAAAGATGGGGTGGGCGGGGAGGGGGGTGTAGATGCACAGACTAGGATGGATAACTTTTCCAAAATAGGTTCTGGAGGAAGTGGCCCGAAGCAGCAGAACCTTCTACAGTCTTAGCAAACCCCACAAGTCTGGCAGCACTACCAACCAGTTGCTCTCAAGGGCCAAGGTGGCTAAAGAAAGGCTGCTAGGGGAAGACAACCTGGCAGAACTCTAACAGCTTTGAGATCTTTTCATTTCCAGTCTCTTTCGAGATACAGCACACTGTTCTTTGTCGCTTGAACGATTAAAGGAAACGCTGACAAAAGGGATTACCTGCGCTTCCAATCACATCTTCCCTCTTGACCTGTTCATGGCACACATGGGTATTGTGTAGCGCTAGGCTTTGCTCTGCCCACACAGTGAGCAGAGGCTAATGCTGAATTACCTGGAAGATTTCTGTCCTTTGATTTAATTTCCAATTTCAACGCCAGAAAAACAACCCAAACTACACGGCCAGTTTTATTCTCTGTATAATTAGGTTCTCCAAGTAAGAAGTGAAAATAGAGTAAGGATGGTATCATCTTCAACAAGAAAGTCATTGATTTAGAAAGTCCAGGTTAAGGGCCAGGAAAAAGGAGTGTCCACAATAGGACATTTATAAATTGATCACGATGACAGCAGCTCTTTCTAGAGGTAATAATGTCATTAGGTTGTCGTAATTGTCCAGTCTCAGGTTAACATCTGGAAATTGTTGAGATGATATGTATCTCTGCTTCTTGCTGCTAAGATTTCAAGAGTGCCTCTTTGTGGCATCTGTCACCAATGTGTTTTGCAAGCTTCCTCCTTTCAAATCAGGAAGTATATATAAAGTGCAAATAAGAGTCACTCCTGGGCTCCCGGGCTCTTGTCTCAACAGCCCTATCCCCAAATCTATCAGTTAAACCGCTGGCCAATAAGGATGCTGGCAGGTATTTCTAGAGTTAGCTAATGAGTTCGTCTGACAAAGAGAGTATCTGAAGGTCAACGCAGTCCTGGCAAGAAAACATAAAGTACCAAAAACAAGACAGGGATGTGAGTGGTGGAGGCAGTGGAGGGATTTTACAGACTCTTTGGCTCTTGACTCTTAAAATTTCAGGAACCACTACTAAATGAACGAGGCCAGCGGATTCCACACCACAGTCAGTCTTCAGTTTTCCCTGGATTGGTGACAGGAGAGAGAGAGAAAAAAAGAGGTTAGTAGTCAAATTTGATGAATATGTCACCAAGTCTGTCTGTCTCACATACACACACCACCTCTATTAAACAACATCCCATTTTATAAAGCAAATTGAGATTCCTGACAGAACATTGCAAAGGTGTCTTCCTTGACCTTTGAAAGGTATAGAGGTCAAACAGGTCTTGAGGTAGGTAAAGTTATATATGCCCATTTCTTTATGATTTGAGAGCGCAGCAAAGTGCACCCAGGATGTTCCATGTGTTAGACAGGCACTCTCCCTCTGAGCTACCTCTCCAGTTCTTACTGTAAGATGCCTTAGGTGTGCATTCACTAAAAAGGATACAGACACAGCATTTCCTGCATTTGGAGGGCCAGGAATTTACCTGTTCATAAACCAACCTAGCAAAAATTACTACTTTTATACAACTATTGGCGAGGGACACACACACACACACATACAGCAGGACATGGTCTTAGTACAAGAGATCAGGCTGACCTCAAACTCAAGATCCTCCTGGTTCACTATGCTCAGCTTAGTGCAACCACCTCTGAGAACTGTGGTTTATAAATACCGGCTGCAGGTGACAGGAATGATGTTGTCACATGGGTTTTGTAAGAGCCCACTTTTATGTATAGTTATATTTTATACGGAGTCAAATCCCACATGAGCATAAATTAGCTATTGGAACTAGGATCCATTATATTTTCTGTATACATGCCAAATTCATGGACAAAGTTTCATATTGCACATGACTGATTAACATTCACAGTCATTTTCTTCTGATTTTTTTTTAAGAGCATGAAGGCTATTTCAGATATCACTATATCTGAAGCTAAGTTACAACTGCAATTAAACAGTATATTGTAAAATATAAAAAAAAACTAAAGTCATAGAAAATGATCAGATACATACTAGTTAAATTCCTGAATTTCTTTTTGGCTTCTGCCCTTTCTTCAGCATCAAAGTACCAGACAGTCATAGCGTACCTGTGAAAGACAAGTCCATGTTACTAGAAAACACCAAAGTCTTAAAACTTACTCTGTGAAGCCCACATTAAAATCAGTTGTAATGCCACCTCTTATGGGAAGTCCACTCTTATTTTAATTTAAAATCATTTCCTCCGGGCTCAATGCTGTATAAACACCATATAACACACGAGCTCCGGGTACTGGGAATTCAGTGATGCTGTCACTAGAACCTCTCCTTTAAGCTCTCGGGCTCCAGTGGGTGGTTCTCTGAGGAAGGACGGAATGGGGGAAATGTAATCTGCAGGGGAAGGACTGGAGGAGACCTGCCATGCTAAAGAGGCTCAAGACACAGGAAGGGAACAGAGCAGGAGGTAACATTTGACTGGAGCTTTCACAAGCCACAGAATCTAGATTGAGGCCTGCTTTCTTTTAGTTTTAGACATCAGTGAAAAGATACAGTTCACTACTGATGCTTTCGCTCTTTCCACCCTCCCGTTACTTGCTGTATCCTATCCAAGAGACAGACTATAATCAAAGCTATCTCATGCTTTCATTTTTAAAACTTTTACATTTATATTTATTATCAGCCATAATAATTTCCAGTAAAAACCCAAGGGTTTCTTCTAAATCACTTTTACTGGTATTTTCCCTATGAAGTTGGTCACAGTGTGACTGAGAAATAACAAGAGAATCCTGCCACAAAACAGGGTCCAATTATTGAACTTCACAAAACAAGCCACAAGTAGACTTCAGTAGTAAGAACTAGTGGCCTGTTTGTGCAGAGCATGTTACGGTGTGAACAAATCTGTATCTCTGGGGCTTGGATCGGAGATGTCTAGAGGGCTGTGCATATGGCTTTGAGTTAAACTTGTTAAGGTTTAGCCCTGCCCTTCCACAGCTCTCCCCTACCTTACTACTACTCCTAGCATAAGCCCCAAACTGCATCACTCTACACTCTGCCTGGCCCACAGTGCTTGCTGGGAGACAAGGGAGAGTTGGAGGTAGAAGCATACATAAATATTTTTATCAGAGCTTTCTAGGTTAAGATTAGACAATTCTAAGGTGTTCAGTGACTCTAATGATCTGTACATACATGTGCTAAGGAGGAGGAAGGAAGGAGGAAGGAAAGAAAGAAGGGAGGGAGGGAGGGAGGGAGGGGGAAGGAAAGACAGAAGGAAGGACGGAGGGAGGGAGGAAGGAGGAAGGAAAGAAAGAAAGAAAGAAGGTAAGAAGGAAGAAAGAAGGGGGAAGTAAAGAAAGAAGGGGGGGGGGGAGGGAGGGAGGGGGGGGGAAGGGAGGAAGGAGAATTTTAAAACATTCAGTTGTAGGTCTGTGATGTAGCTCAGTTAGTTGATAGAGTGCTTGCATAGTGTGCGTAATACCCTAGCATCACAAAAACCCTGTGCAACGCACATGCCTGGAATCCCAGCACTTAGGAGGTAAAAACAGGAGGATCAGAAACTCAAGGTCACCCTCTGCTACATGGTGAGTTCCAGGCCAGCCTGATGTGAGACCTTGTCTCAAAAATGAACGGATGGACAGACGGAGCAAGCAAACTATAGTATCCAATTGTGACGGCACCGATAAAGTTAGCCCAGGCAAACAGAGAGAATAGAAAGGAAATGAATTCAGAACAAATTATTCTTTCCTTTCCCAAGGTTCTTTCTTTGCTTAAACTGACAAACTAGAAATTCACTTGAAGGAGCAGAACTTTTGAAATGTGATAATCAGGATTAGTTCAACATTGGGTTTTTGTTGCTACTGTTTTCTCCTTGACATTTCTGAGCCTAGGTCTCATTTAGCTCATGCTGTCTTGAACTCTCAATCCTCCTGCTTACATCTCTGACTGCTGGTGTAACAGGAGTGTACCCATGCAACTTTAGGGTTTTTTTTCCCCCATAAGGGGAAGGAGGAAGGAACAGAAGGAAAGGGAAATGCATTCTAAGGAACTGAGACCAGTATGCACAAGTCACAGTTAATAGTTACTATAAACTGAAACCTAAAGAGCCCCTTCAATTTCTATCATTCCAAACAGGCTGAGCTGTCAGTTTTGGGGTGTGACCAGCACTTCTTAGTATAGGACATGAGTTCTAAGAGTTCTCCAGGAACTGGGATCCCACACATGGGATCCCTGCAAGAGGGACTGTGGCCCCGGCTCTTACCTGGTAGCATAGGAGGGCTGAACTTCATGTGGGTTCCTGCGGTCTGACCAGAAGAACAGGAGTCTGTCAAAAATGGGCTCCACATCTGCTACGAATGATTTCCCTTCTGGAAATATCCGCAATACCCCTCCATGTAACTGAAGACCAAGAAGAGGAAGCGTTATCTCCTGGTCTCACATAAAGTTTATCAGCAAGGATGTGTTAGCGCTATCAAAGAGAAATGCCACCTCTACCTCAACTTTAAGTGGGTTTTACTCCCCAAATGTTCACTCCACTTATACTTTGTAGTTAAACTTACGTCAACTTGACACAGCTTAGCTATCTACAGTTCCTCATCCACTTCAGACCAGCATCTTCCCACTCCCATAGCCATGAAGCCCACAGACATAAAATAGCAGACAGTCATCACACAAAACTGTCCATGTCAGAATGCTTCAACCCAAAAAAGCAAGCAGACAAATCCTAAGCAATTTCCTAGCTCCATCAAATATTGTCTAAACATTCATCACAGACAGCTGCCCCTGCAATAACAACTTAGAGCATTTCTCTGAGTTCTTCAAATGCCCATCTGACCTCATTGACTGAACCCTTCCCTGAACTCTCTCACCTCACTGCCTATACATTTTAGGACATCTGTCACTCTCTTCGCCTCCTTTTTCTTTTTCAGATGTACAATCTATTTGTCCTACTGGAACAATCATCTTCTGGGCGGAAACCAGGCTTCATACATCATTGTTTCTACATAACACACATCTAGCGCTGGCAGAAACTCAAACATTTGTTGGTTTTATTCTTCCTCGTTTATTATTGTTGGTCTAATAACTCTGCTCACCATAGCATCCCAAGAGATATTTTTAAGCCCTTAAAGGAACTGTTCCAGTCTTGCTACCAAATAGAGGAGAGATACAATGTTACATACATGACCACAGTCAGAGTGTGCACTAAGGAACAGCCAACAGAGATGCACAGAATCCAAAAGCTAAACAAACTTCTAAAGTTCTCTGAATTTCCCACACTCCTAAGTCATTCTTAACTTTCAGAGAGCACATAAGGGACAAACCATGTCTATCCAGTCCATCTCTACCACCTACCATACAAAAACCAGCCACACAACCTCTGTCATTCACAAGCTACAAAGAATGGCTCCCTATGGGACATACCATCCTGAGAAAGAGGACTGTGTGGGAAATCTTTCTCGGGGACAGTTTGCTATCCCACAGTTCTGCCTTTGTGGAATTCTCTCAATGTTGCTGCTGGGGGGCAGGGAAGGTGTACATTACATGCTGAGCTAAGACTCACATCAGCTCTGCATCCCAATGTTAAATTACCTACCTCATTAACCCCTGACCTTCACAATCACCATACCCCCCCTCTCACCAAACTAACTTTATAGCCACTGTCTTTAATCTCAGCAACTTTGGAACTAATTCCACAAGTGGAAGCAAGGTAAAAAATAGCACAGTGGAGACAATTAGAAACTATAACTCCCCTAAACATACCTGAATGTTTTATCTAATTGAAAATGGCTTGCTCCTCTCAGTGCACCCCTACCTGCACTGTTTATGGCATATATAACCCACTCCAACCCCTCCCCCATTATTCCACAGTACCTTGGCATCCCAATTCTTATTCAGGTAGTAGATACAGGTGATACAGCGGCCATCACCATTGGGGTTATCCACATGGCGGACATAACCTGTTCCATTTCCTGGATAGCAAGCCACCATTGCCTGTGGAGACATCCGAAGGATTCTGTTTAGAAAATCTTAAATAATAGCTTCACCATGCAGCAGGCATATACGGCACATAAATTCGGATCACTATCAGAATACAGAATTAGCATGAGGTAACCTTTGGTATGAAAGCTTAGCAGGCAGTCCATGCCTTAGGACTAGGTGCAGGGTAAATAGTCAGTAATATTTCCATGTCCTAAAACATTGAAAACCTTCTAAAGAAACCCATCTACATCATCAACAAGATGGCTTCCTTTCTTTAACATTCCTTTTTGAAAAAGCATGTCCCAAATTTCCATCTAACCCCACAGGATCAGAATGCCGAGATATGAGGGGCGGACATAGTGGATACACGCATGTACTTTCAATACTCAGATGCTGAAGCAGGAAGGTGGGGAGTGAGATGTCTGGCCTACACAGAGAGACTTTCTCTAAAAGGAAGGAAAGAAGAGAGGGGGGGGGAGGTAAAAGAAAGGCTCTTTGGTGTGGGGCTATGGAACTATGCTTGTTTAGCAATGCCCTGAATTGTGGAATCATGCTTGTTTTCTTAAAAAAAGACTATGTATAATTCCAAAGGGAGAAAAGGGACAGTGAGAAGCTAGACCTTAACCAGTCAGAACAGATGATATGGGGAAAAATAATTTTTGAAGGGGAAAAATAATACATACATTAAATGTATTCCTTAATCCTTATGCTCTTTTTTTCTGCTATTAAAGGTTTATTTATTATTTATTTTATGTATATGGGTGCTCTATCTGAATGTATACCAAAAGAGGGCATCAGATCCCACTACAGATGGTTGTGAGCCACCATGTGGCTGCTGGGAATTGAACTCAGGACCTTTGGAAGGGAAGCCAGTGCTCTTAACCACTGAGCTATCACTCCAGTCTCTCTTACAGTCTTCTTGATGACTATCAACCCAGGTGATAATCTGGGGTCCTTCTTTGTCTAAGTGCTATCTATATACCCACAGGGCAAAGAAAGAAAATGGGAAGCCACATAGAAAAACCCTGAGAACTACATTTACAGGCTTACATACCTTTAGTTTCATGAGGCAGGGGATATAATGGAGATGGGGAGAGAAAAAAAAAAAAAACATAAAACCTGTTCTCATTACAAGACACCACTATAATTTTAAAATATTATATAGGGATTCAGGATATCTAAGGAAAATATTGGCACTGGTAATACAAAATGAGGGCTGAAAGATTTTCTCTACTCTACCAGTGTGATCTTAGCACCTGAGGGATACCTGGCATGCAGAAGCTGTTCACTAAAAACTTGACAAGTGCTATGAATGGGTCTTTATTGAAACCAGATTCCATGCTACCTAGATAAATAAAGCTCTTTCTTCCGCTTTGAAAGCCTACCTTTAGACATACTTAGGGATCAGGTTAAATATTCCCTGATAAATAACTAGGTTACTTCATGAGTAAGATGCCTAGTCCAGGACAGCCCCAAACTAAGCCAAGGACGGTTCAGAGAGTGAGCGGACTCCCTATTGAGCCTGAAATAACAGAGCAGAGCTGAGTCTCATGCATGCTGCATCTAGAAGGCTGAGTTGTAGTCTGGCTTTGCCATGAACTTGAAGTTTAAATCAGAGGATGCGGCACACTTTATTTTTCTGCATAGCTAGCAATCCCACTGCCTGCCTCTGAAGCTTGAAAATTGCCACTGTGATGTCACGAGCAGAAATGAAGTTAGTCTGTTAGCCTGGACATCTCCCGGAAAGTGGGACTGAGAGGTGACTGTAATAAGGATTTGATACATGATGGTACTACCGGATAGATGGTGGCTTGAGGAAAGGTGATTGGGAGCAGACAGAAGTGACTAGCCTGACGTAAAAGAAGAGACAAATGAAGTAACCTAGAATACATGGGGAATTACCTCTTACTTTCTTTTGTTTGTTTTTGGTTTTTCGAGACAGGGTTTCTGTGTAGCTTTGGAGGCTGTCCTGGAACTAGCTCTTGTAGTTAGTTCGAACTCACAGAGATCCACCAGCCTCTGCCTCCCGAGTGCTGGGATTAAAGGTGTGTGCAACCACCACCCAGTATTACCTATTTCTGGAAGCAGCTGTCAGAAGTGTGAGGACCACATAAAAAGTGGGCACA